AGAGGTGTTTTCCATTTAATAAACCACTTATGGCTTCTTAGAGATGTGCCCCAAGACTTGCAGACTTCCTTGCTTTTCTTCCCTCTCGGTGTGCATTTCTGCCTACTCTTTCTGTCTGTTTTCTATTGTGCTCCACCACTTCGACTCTAGGAGAGCTTTTGTTTTGTAGCGTTTGCCTTAACCTTGTCAAGACAAGTAAGTGAGTTCTGAAAGGCAGGTTTCCAGGCTAGCCAGCATCCTCGACAATGAAATTCTTGTACTAGCTGGATACAATTTGTATAATTTGATGGATTTAAAACAAACAAACAAAAGACTTTTTTTTTCCCCTGCACAAGCACTGCAAAAGGAGCATGAACGTCTCTGTGCTGTTCCCAAGCAGAGCATAAAGCTCTTCTTGAGCATTACCTACAGAGCTTAAGCAACTGCTTCCTAGAAAGCACCGTCCCCGTGCCAGGCTGGCACTATACTCAGGTAGTTGTGGCAATAACGTGCTGGCCTCATAAAGCAATCTCCAGTCGCCATTATTAGGGAGGTGCAAGTTGGCGGCAACTGTTCTCATTTGCAGTGAGGAAAGGGGAGACGTGAAAGATAATTTCAGGAGATTCTGCATAGTTTGCTTCCCTCGGAGGGAGACGGGTGCAGGAGTTCCCTCCTTGGCACCAGGCAGGCAGGTGAAGTTGCCGACATGCCCTGCCGCTGTTGCTGCCAGTTTGCTATCTGTTGGAAGCAAAGCACATCTGGTGTAACTGGCAGCAGGCCTGTTTGGAGAGGTGGCGAGACTTGCACATTTGTAACTGGGAAGGATAGACTTCTCGCAGACAGCATGAAGTTTTGTTGCTCCAGGGAAGACCATAAGGCACGAACAAATGTATGAGTGTCGAGACAGCAGTGATTATGTGAAGGCACAAAAAGTAGAGCGCCCTTCCCCATCAACACCATCAGCGGTGCATATTTCAGTGTACCCGAGACCAGGAAAAGAGCATGCATGCCCAGGGGCTGTGTGTTGGGCGAGGGAGCGGCCAAGTCAGCCTCATTTGACTGGAAAAAGCATAAGCTAACCCCCGTGAAGATGGGCTTTTCTTCTGTCTGACAGGCCTTCCAGTGGCATTTTATTTTCTAGTCCTGGTGCTCAGAAGGAAAGTAATGCTGACTTTTGTGGTTAGTGACACTGTAATTACAGGACAGTGACATCTGAGTGGCCTCCTGAGCCTCTCCTGTCTTGGAGTGATCAGTAGGAAGGCAATGGGGTTTTCCAGGTATTAAGAGACTCTTAGCTGACCTGCTTGGAGGCAGACCTAGCAGAGAGTGTAAGGGGAGATCTGGGCTCTCTACCCCTTCTACAGGCATCCTTCACCATGCAAATTCACTTTCCTACCCTTTTGCTCCCTTTTTGAGATATGCGGTCTCCGCTGATATGGGGGAGAGCAGGGTGGGGACCGTTTACTGGAGAGGCTAATTTACAAAGCAAATGAATAGCACTGCTCTCTTGCGTGTCATGGGGAGACAGCACAGGGCTGCCGCAGGGGCTCCTCACTGCTGGGGTCTGGGATCGTGCCTGGCCCTGTGGGGCACAGGGCAGGGAGTGCACATGGTGGGTGCTGTACCCAGGTGCTGCTGCAGCCCCGTCCCCGCGGACAGAGAAGGGTTATCTCCGGGATTGTCAGAGAGCTCCATCAGGGTGCATGGCAGAGAGCTGTTTGAAACATCACTTGGTCCGAAACCTGCTGCAGTCAGCAGGATGGTTTCCATTGACTCTGGGTGCAGACCTCACTGATGAATAGTGAGCACAGGAATAGCTGCCGTGCGTGTGAGGGGTGATCTCTGAGGAGGGTTTTCCGTCATGCAGCCAGCATCACGTGTGTGTGACTGGGAACACTAGAGCCTCTCAGGCTCCTCTGTGGCCCTCTCCCAACAGCCAGCGCCTGCTGCCAAAGAGATTTACTCCAGTTACACAGCTCGCCCAATTATCTCCCATGACAGGGAAGAAAACTTGTTCGGTGATGAGAAATCATTACATATTACAAGCTTTGTGAGTTTGGGACAAACGAAGCCCCTAAACGCTGCCTGGTTGAACACTCTGTCTGTGCTCTGTGTGATAAATAACAGCTGACTTTTCCATCGCTAGGAAATGAATCACTGTGGAGGCAAAACCAAAAAGGAGCCTCAGTCCAGCTAGGAGACCTGAGAAGGAAGCTGTTGGAAGAGAGACGCATACTAACTCCACTGGCCTGTAGTCTGTCTTACCCTTACTAACAAATGTCAACAACTAGGTAATGTCCTTCCTCTGTTCTTTGTGACACTAGCCCAGGACTTGGGGGTTAGGGTGCAGAAACATTAGTTTCTCCCTACTCTGTAGGTACTGTGTTTCAAAGGATAAGTCGTGATCCATGTAAGATTTAGTATCTGTTAGTGGAGCCTGGAAAATTTGAATCTCTTTCCAAAAACAGACCATAAATGAATAAAGCCAGCCAGAGAGGATGCTGAGAAGGGGCTGGTTTAGACCCTTGTGCAGTCTGCCTCTGAACAAGAGATTTGAGTCAGGGCTGTAACCTGGGAACAGGCTTGAAACTGGGAGGTAGCAGGGAGCATTTTATTTCCTTCCTAAGTTTTGGTGATGGGTTCAGAAAGCACCAGGTACAGTTGTCTTTGGATTGATGGGAAGGTCTGCTCATTGCAGCTGTGAGGACTTGGAATGGGGAGGAAATAAAAATGTATGGATTTTGGGAGCTCGCACGTAGCAGGATTGTGACTATGCCTTGTTTGCAGCTGTCATGGGGGTGTGGGATGTTTCCGATCGCATCGGATTTCACTAGGTTTGGGTAAGGAGTGTGGCAATGGCCAGTGCCTTGGGTTTTAACCAAAGGCAAACGAAGAGCCCAAGACCTGATGCACCTGGACTGTTGTGTCATGGAAACATTCCTTCCTGCCTCCTGAAACGCTCAAGTTACATCCTGATGCCTGAGATTCAGCTCCTTATTTCAGCTCAGATATTACTGATTACAAAATCTGGGCAGTGCTTGGTTCAGTGCTTTCTTGCAGCAGCTGCACATTGTGTGGTGAAGTGTTTCCTTTAATTCATTGTTAAGTGACTTGCTTTTAATCCTGGGATGTGACCTCTCACTGCAGGATGCGCTTCCCAAGCGTGAGTCAAGGGAGGAAGAGCTGTGCTGAGGGGAAGGCGCGTTTTGTGCTCACATCCCAAACACATCCTCCATCCATCCATTTCCCTAGAGCTCCAGCTTGGAGATATCCTATGAAGTACAAATAATACAGCAACTGGGAAAATCATACACCTGGTGAAGTTGCCATGAACTGACCACTAAGGTGCTGAGGGATGGTGAAAGAAAGCTTCAAGTCAGGCTAATAATAATACAACCCCTAACTATTAGCATAACTCTGCCACACTGGCTGTGTGTAGGGCCAAACATGAGATTGTGATGTCCTATTTGCGCTTCTGCTTGCAAGTTTCATGCCCATCCTTGGGTGGACGTGCGTTATAAGATCTACTAACCTGAGGGCATAGTTTGTTATTGCTGGAATGGCCAGGCTGTGATCTTCGGAAATGTCTGAAGACTGCAGAGGAGGACAGAGAAGCTCTAGAGGAAGGTAAAAACCTGTACCTGTAGTTAAACACCCTTGGTAGCTTTGTTATTGTGCCAAGGGTATTTTCATAGACCAAGGTCACTAGTGTGCAGTGAAAGCTGCTGTCGTCATGCTGCCTGGATGGTGGGCAAATAGGAGGCATAAACAGCCGTGGGCTTTTACTTTGCAGGGGCATCAGCCAGTGGTCCCCCAGCTTCTAAAATGGGCTTTAGAAGAGTGCCAAGGATGAGGAGGGCTCCTGTGAGAGCGCAGAGAAGTCCAGAGGTCTTGGAAAAGCAACTCATAGGAATGATGGAGAACTTGGGTCGTGACTCCCCTAACAAGAAGGGACACTAGATGATACCAGCCCAGACAGTGGGGAGCTGCTACTCCCTGGACAGAGGCTCGGTGAAGGGCTTCTGTTTGAGAGATGCTGCATCCTTGGGGGCTGCAGTGCTTAGCAGCTACTATCTCAGGTCCCCGGAGAAGAGGTGAATAGCAGAAGTGCTGCTGGCGGTGCATAATGCAACACAAGCACCAGGAAGTCGATGCACTTCCCCCCTTGCTCAGCTTCCCCTCTGCCCTGACAGCTCTGTTCATTTCTCTTGCAGGGAGCAGCCAATCTTCAGCACCAGGGCCCATGTTTTCCAGATCGACCCTGCCACCAAACGGAACTGGATCCCTGCCAGCAAGCACGCTTTGACTGTCTCCTATTTCTACGATGCCACACGCAATGTGTACCGGATCATCAGCGTGGGGGGCACCAAGGTAGGGGGCATTTGCTGACAGCACGACACAGCTTGACAGCAGGTTTTTCTCTAGCCAAAGTCTGTTCTGGTGTTGATGCTTTTGGTGTCAAGTTGATTGGTTCTCAGCATGGGCACTCTAGCATCTTCACTGCGGGGAATGGAAGGTAAAACACTGCCTCCATGATCAAGCGTGTTTAGTGTTAGACACTAGAATCCCTGCTGATGAAAAATGTGCCCTAGGGTCCGATGTTGTCCCTCCCTGCCCCACTCTTTTCACCCCCCTTGCATGCAAAACACAAGCTTTTTCTGAGATCCTTTATCCTGTGCTAAAACCAACCCCTGTAGATATAATGAAATGACAGGCAGAGGTTGAGGGAGTCTCAGAAGTAGTCTGTTCAGTCACTTCCACAAAACACGATTAACTCTCCCTGAACTGTTCTTGATAGGGTTTTTCCTGACTTGTTCTTGAAGATCTCCAATGGCAGAGATTCGGCAGGCTTCCCAGGCAATTTATTTTGTTGCTACCCTAACCAGCAGAGAGTGTTTTGTAATAGCTAGTCCTGACTGCTGTTTAAGCCTATTTTTTTTTTCTTACTTGCCATGAAAATGGAGAACATCAGAAAGTTGTTAAGTCCCCAGAGACACGCTGTCTCTTATCTTCTTTCCCAGCAATGGAGGAAGCTGATGGTACTGAGGCTTTTTTTTTTCTTTTTCGGTAGACAAGATATTGAGATTTGCTCGTGTCACGTAGCCAGACTAGAAAGACTTTTGATCACCAAAAGCCTGAACTTTTGTCTTATGGATTAAAAGCCAGAGCTTTCTACCCCTAGTTCCTAGAGTACACAGGGATTATAGTGATCAATCCCACACCACCACCCCAGGGCAGCAGACTGGAGTTTCTCTGACTCTCATTGTTGCCTCTCTCTGCAGGCAATCATCAACAGCACTATTACCCCCAACATGACCTTCACAAAGACGTCCCAGAAATTTGGACAATGGGCAGACAGCCGAGCCAACACAGTGTATGGGTTGGGCTTTGCTTCGGAGCAACATCTCTCCCAGGTAATGCTGCAGGTGCTGGCAGAAACCTGATGCTAGCAGGGGGAACGTCCCTGAAACCCTGAAGGGGAGATCAGCCTCTGGAGAAAAGACTTTAGGAACCTGATGTAGTGCTGTTCCCACTGTGCTAAAATCTAATGCAAGTTGCAAAGATGCTAGGAGGAGCTTTAAAGTAATATTTGCAGAGTGTTTTGAGCATCACAAATTGAATTAGGACTTCAGGCTCAATTTCTGTCATTGCTATTTAGCTAACCCCACAGCCCTGAGTGCCAGGGGTGGGCAGGGGCAGGAAGGGGCTATTCCCTGAATTTTATTGTTAGTTGAAGACAAATTAAAAAGCATGTTGAATGAAGTTGCAAAGGGAGGAGTAACCCAGGCATCAATTCTAGTTCGTTCCGCATTTCGGCGTAGCACTGGAGTGACTTTTCCGCTCCCCTCTAGTTTGCAGAGAAGTTCCAGGAAGTGAAAGAAGCAGCCCGTTTGGCGAGGGAGAAGTCCCAGGATAAAACAGAGCTGACCAATCCTGCCCTGAATATCACATCTCACCAGGTAATGCTTGGAAGGAGGCATGAGTAAAGCTCACTGCAGAGCGATGACAGCTAGGGAACGTGGCCACTGTGCTGATCTCCTCTAGTGACTTCTTGCTTTCATCCCTTTCTCTCCGAGAGCTTTCTTGCCAGACACTGAGGTTGGAGCTTCACATTTTGATGACACCTGTGGCCCCGAGGTCACTCTGCTGAAACACATAAAGTAGATTAACTAATTAGTGTGGAGCTCCTGGGAAGGTTCACACTCCTCCCTCTTTGCCAGTTAAACTATCAAAACCATTTGAAGTCTTATAAAGCCATGCTGGAGGTGTGGGTTTTATTGGTTTGGTGTTTTTTGTTGTGTTTCTTTTTTTCTTTAAGAGCTGGTGGCTCTCCCTGGGCTCAGTATGACAATAACAGGCAAGTAGCATGCAGGAGTGCATGTTGCCTGGTTGAAGATCATAGGAAGAAAGACACGTGGCATTTCCAACCATTTTTCTTCCTCTTCTGGGGCTGCAGGGGGTTCTTCTCCAAGTGTCTCTGATAGGTGATGGTGCTGTCCATGGGGGTCCATGGAAAGACAAAGTGACTTGTTAGACCTGGTGACTGAGGAGTGCTGGCCGGACTTCTTCTGTTTCTGTCGTATTTCCACCATGGAAGAGAAGCTGTGCTGTGAGAGTAGAAATCACTCCCCCCGCCTTGGGAACTCTCCCCTAAGGTAGAACTGCACCCATGACAGCCAGTCATTCAATTTTCTTTCCCCCAGGAGACCAAGCCAGAAAGCTTAAGCCCATCATAGATCATTCTCGCATGTGTTGCATTTGCAATTGTTACCTTTCTCCCTGTATAGCTAAACCAACTCCGGCAGCAGTGCGATGGACGGGAGGGGATAAGCTGTGGAGAACTCTATGCTGCTTCTTCCCATGATGAAGCAGTTCAGTGCTGATGGTGAAGTTGCCCTCCCAAATAGTTCACTCCAGAGGTGACTCTGCATTTCCCAGAGCTCCTGGCAGTGGGAGAGGAGCTGTAGGATGGAGGACATTGCGTTCTCTGGGCTGAGTACAGATGGAGTGGCAGCAGAGGAGGAGGAGGGAGTGTGAACAGTACCTTGGCCTGCAGGAAAAAGAGGAGGAGGTGGAGGCGGTGGCTCTGCAGAGACTGGAAATGTCATGTGGGGTGCAAAAATGGGGAAAATCTGCCTAGCTTTTCGCTCCTGCTAACTCTTAAGCCCCATCCTAATGGGTGGGAAATGAAGAAGGGAGTAGAGTAGGGCATTCATAGCAGAACCAAAGTTTTAGGTAAAAGGCTCTGGTCAGTAGTAATTGCCCAAGATAGAGATTTATGGCCAGCTGTAGCTTCCATCTCCTAGCTCCCCTGGCCAGGAGATGGAGGCTGGGAGTAGCGATACTCCCTCTTATCCTGTTTACACCAGGCAGAACTCATCAGGTGCCACAAAAGGACACGTTCATCTCCCCTATGCTGTGATGGCAACTTGCAACAGAAGGAATGAGGAGGTCAGAAGGTGAAGGTTAAACACAGATCAGGGAAATGGCCTAAGGCTCTGTTCGTTCTTCTTACCTGACTCAGGAGCGCTAAAACTGCCACAGTGGGAACCCATGCTCACTCTTCCCATTCAGCCTGCCTGTCTCTCGGTGGGAGAGCTCAGACACAAGTATGCACGGCCCCTGCCTGCAGCCAGCATGCTGACACAGTGACGCATGCAGTGTCCCCTGCCACGTGGGCATGCAGGTCTTGTCCTGCCTTCCCCAGCCTGTACGTGCATCAGCCCATCATCCCTTCTCCCACTGCTGATTCACAGTCTCTACATTAGTAGAGCTTCAAACATGAGCTTCATCCTTGAATAATTGATTGTGTTTCTGTTTGCAAGTGAGCAGAGAGCAGATCTGTCTCCTGAAATTTAAATCAGGGCTCCCTCATTTTCTGCATCTGCACTAGTTTACTTAGGCCTCAGCTTTTCAGAGCTGGGGAAATCCCAGGATAGCAGCTCTCTTCTGTCCTCTAGTACCTTTTAGGCCAATCCCCATCCCATTTAGCGTCCCCATCACAGAGTATAATGTAAGCAACAAAACAGTGTGGAGCATCTTCAACTGTTACCAGTTTCAGTTGGACTCACAGGGGCTCAACACACCAGAACAGGAAACTTCTGCCCCTTCCCTGCCTCAGTTTCCCCACCTTGCGGTAAAGGTGATGCAGGGTTGTGTTTTGCAGGTCTCGCTTCTCAATCACTCTCTGGAAGGCTTCATGAAGCTGGTGTTCAATACATCTCATGGCCCTGTCTGGCTCTATTTATAGATGTCAGCCGACTCCGAAGGCAGGTGGCTGTCCTTACCACAGGCATTTGAGGGCTACCTATCAACTCCAGCAGGCTCACCAGCCACCTGGTCTCACAGCCCCCAGCTTAGGATCCCAGAGACTCATTGCCCAGAGAGTCTTTTTATAGCTGTTTGCCCTGTCAGTGCCAAGCTTCTTCCCTGCTGTGAGAGGAGACCGTGCAGACAGGGTCTTCTGGAGGGGCCGGAGGATGTAAAGTCTGCTTTGGCTTCTGCATATTCATTTCTGCTCCACTGTCAGTTCCCTCCAGCCTGGGAGGATGAATTGTTTGTCTCTGCTAGCTCTGATGTATGCAGGAATATGGAGCCATGGAGAAGGGTATACTTTGGTGCAGGGGCTGAGTTTCTTCTCCCACACCTTTGGAAAGTGGGTGCCTGTCATGGTTTAATCCCAGCCAGCAACTAAGCACCACACAGCTGCTCGCTCACTCCCCCCCAGTGAGATGGGGGAGAGAATCAGAAGAGTAAAAGTGAGAAAACTCGTGGGTTGAGATAAAGACAGTTTCATAGGTAGACCAAAAGCCGTGTACGCAAGCAAAGCAAAACAAGGAATTCGTTCACTCCTCCCCGGCGGCAGGCAGGTGCAGCCATCCCCAGGACAGCAGGGCTCCGTCACGCCTAACGGTGACTTGGGAAGACAAACGCCATCGCTCCCAACGTCCCCCCCCTTCCTTCTTCTTCCCCCAGCTTTACATGCTGA